CTCTAAAACTTAATGAATCAATCGTTTGATAATTTTTTGTTCTGTTTGGAGATAAAGAGTTTTAGTTAACGAAAAGAAAGAAAGTATAAACCTTGCAACTTGATACAATTCGAAATTAATTTTGCGTTAATTCGAAGAATCTATGTAATACACAACGACTTTGTTACTCCTCATTGTTCTAGTAATAATGGAAAACAATTTCGAGGAAAGAAAGCTTTCGATCTTACACATGATTAAAACAGTCGTTAATGTATAAAATAAACTGTACAATAGGTATTTTCCCTTAAAAATAATGTCTATATTTATTTCATTCTTGCCCATAATATTTCCTGATTCCCATTACTTAATAAAAATAAAAATGCATCCTTTCAGGGAAGAAGTAATAATGAAATTAGGATTTGAAGTGTAAGCTGAAATTAAGTTTACGCGTCATTTCCGATCAACGATTTACAGATCGAGATGAAAGGAATAAAGTCAATGAAACATAATATGACTTACAAATGAAGACGGAAGTATTATATTCCTTTGACTCCAATACTTCCGTCGATCCAGAATATCACGCAAACGAGATCTCTGCTTACTAAAAAAATCTCATCTCATTCGATTACTAGTTTTCGTTACACAATAATCTTTAATATTGTGTTTTGGCATTCCCCTTTATCATACGTTCATCATTTATGTAAGTACACTACTATTTACTTTTAAATTTCGGAATCATAATCTTCGCATTGTAAAGAATAATTTATAAAATTTAACAATTCCATTCGAGATTGATGAAACCAGATTATAGAGTTTTCCTGTAAAATTCCATCCGATCCGTCAATTTCATGGAACCTGTTAATATTCATGACGTGATTGGTTTTTGTTCCTTTGAAGTATTCGGACAAAACAAACCGCAGATTTATTTTATCTGTTACCAGTCACCATGGTGCATATATATTATGTCAAATTTGTCCATTACATGTTTCCATAATTATACACGATTGTTATTAATCTCCTGGAGAATAACATTTAATACGACAAGCGGCAATTAACGTAATAATGTCTTCAATACGATTCCTCGTATCGGAATTAACAATACCACATACTGTTTCCATTAAATCAATACGTGCACGTAAACTATAAACGCCGTGCAGTTGTCAAGTTTTTCCCCAGTAGATTCATTATAAATATATTCATCGCATCATGTCTGACCAGCAATTACTGCTTATTCAGGTTAAATTCTTTCTGCTTTTGTATCCCTTTGTACCGATCCTCGTCATAATCTCTCGCGTTACACGGCCGTAATCTTTTTTAATCTCCAATGAGCGCGCAACCTCGACGCTCGTGTCCCATTACGATTAAAACGTTACATTAAGGATTTCAACGTAACAAGCTTGTTCATCGATAAGCCTAAATTCATTCGTCTCTGATTTTATTTTATCGGGAGTACCATTGGCATCGTGACTCAACCGATCTGCTGCCATATTTCTTTTCGCGGAGGTACTTAGATCTTCGATGGCGCCAGTAATAAATTTTTAAGGTGTGACGGTCGACCTCGAAGAACTAATCAGAACAGTTTTCCAACAAAATTGCCTACGTATGTATAACATGGCTCAATCACGACGGTACAGTCTGATCGAACCAATACGAGCGATGCGTTACGCCGGGGATCGACATCATTTCTTGAATCACAAGCCTCACAGGTCTCCGTGACTTTTCTTTTTTTTCTCTATTTGCACGACGTCCTTCATCGCGTACTCAAGTGAATATAACATGTACTTTTCTCGTCGTATTTTTCAATCTTCCTGTTAGAATAACGATTCCGTAAATACGCCTCTTTGATTGCAACGCACGCGTATTGTAATGTCCTCTGGACGGAGATGCGGAAAAATGCTCGCGAAATACACCACAAAATACTGATTTCTTTAATCGCCGCTTTACAATGGATTTGCATGTAATTATCGTGCTCTCTTTCGTCACTCCCTCGTTTCCTTTGTTATTTTTTATCGTTCAAAATGAAAACGCTATGCGAGTTTTAATGTGTGTTTCGTTTTATGTATTGAAAACTAACTGTTGCAAAAATTGTTGAAATAACGATTTCAGAGTTTTTATATTATAAAAATGTATAAAATGTATCTTGAATAAAGCCGTTGTGGAATGTTTGTTTATATGTGTATTATACTATAAGAGTTTTATTAAATATTATACAAACTTCAAGAAATAAAATTAGAAATATCATTATACTTTTATTATAACAATTTTTTTGTGTTCCGTAGTTTTCGAGATTCGCGAAAAGGTGAAAATATTTGATAACGTTTAACTTATACTGTTCCAGGATAAAAATTTGTCAATAAATTGAGTCGATAAGAGTTGATGATTAATTATATGTAAATTGTTTTTTTTTCTTTTTTTGAGAACACAAACTGTTCAGTTATATAAGGACATGCAGGATTTGCTAATTTCAAAACTTAAACACTATTAATGTCAGGGATCAGTGTGTATTAATGTCTCTTAAGACGGTCGGTTACACAGTGTTGACACAAGCCATCCGGTTCCTTTTTCTCCCTTTCCAAAAGATGTTTACACGTAATATCGATAATCTTGCGAACGTTAAGTTTGCTTATTTCGTTAACATTATTTTGCTTTCTTGCGAAAGGCACGATGATATAACCAAAAATGATGTAACTCCTTGTATAAAAAAGAAAAGTATAATAAATATTAACTTCATAAATATTCTCTGTATATATTCTTTTTTATTATTAGTCTTTAGAACATTCTATATATACCATTTTGTTTTAAATTATTTTTTATATGACTCTCCTAGAAAATAGGATAAGATAGATGATATGATATTTACTGGGATAAGATTTCTTAATTAGTATCTGTCATCTAAAAGACGAGTGAAAAAAAATGTAATGGACATAGTAATTGAATTGTTAAAACATGTTCACAAAAACAGTGAAAATTGTTCTCCATTTAATGGAAGGAAACATAACTGAAGGCTGAAGGACGTTGTAAAAATGATGGGAAAGTACTTGGTAATTCTCTTTTATCGGGAGAATCTGCTTATTAGGAAATTATAAGTAAATCCTTATTGTACTGCGAATGAAAATATGCGTCATAATAATGAATTATCTTCAGTAAGATGCATAAACTCAGATGAAATGTCGATAAAAGACAGTGTACGTAATTACGCTTGTGATAATTCATGATTTCATAATAATGACGCAATTACGTAGCTTCGTTTGTAGATATATTCTTTTTAATTGTGTTGTTATACGAATTTTTTCGCATGCTTAATGAATGGAAATGGCACAAATTATTATGATTTATAGCCTTATGAACATTACAAATATAATGATTCAAAAAGGACATATAAAAAGGTTAGTATGTAAATTATGACACTGGTTAACGTAAGTATATTCTAATGATAACTGGAAAAATATGAGTGACGAATGTTCACACTTTTGCACGTGTATGAAAATGTTCATGAAAATAACGATTCTCGGGCCACTGTTTCCTGCGAAATTTATTTTTAATTTTCTTGTCCTGTCATAAAACTTTATACCGACACCTTTATTCTTCCACGAAGCAATTAATATATAAATGTATTATATTATTATTATTATAATCATTGGTCAAAGTGTTTATACGTATACAATAAAAGTATTATTAAATTAACTTTCATTATCTGAAGTTGCTTTTAACTATTGCTAAACAAATAATCTTTTCCCATGTTATCATAAAATGTTACGTATTTAAATATTATCTTATTTCGAATTTTGCAATCTTGTTTAGGTATGATTAATCGAGGAAGTACAAATTATACAAGGAAGCTGTAAATATTCATCGCGTTTTTAACTAGTGTCATAATGAGAACTTGGTACATATTCTTAATTTTCGCTGAATAAGATGCGAGGACTTTTTTACACAGTAGTTGTGTAAAAGAAATTAACATATCTGGTTCTATTTTAACATTATTTAACATAATTATAATTTAAATGTTTGTAACAATGATGTAAATAACTTAGTATATAAGTTTACTAAATTTGAAAATTTGAAAATTTTCGAAAATACTAAATGGAAAAAATTTGTACAGTACTTATTTGCAGTACTTATTGTATAAGAGTAATATTTGAAATCTTAATTGATTAAGCAAAATGTTTTTTAATTTATATTTTACTAATTTCATATATAAAACAGTATTTCTATATTGAAGAATTAGAATATAATAATAACATTAAACAAATGATAACATTTCATTAAACACAAATCGGTAGAATGTACCAAAGGAATACTGTTACATATTATTTTGTTCCAAATATAGCGAACATTTTAATGTAATAACCTGTTTCTGTTGTTCCAAATGTTCAGATACATTTAAAGGAGACGAAATGAAGAAAAGAAGTGGTAGAAAGACAAAATTGTTTTATCCTTCTCTCTTAAATGCATCCATAAATAATTCACTATCTTTTTTAAGAAACTGATAATAATTCAAATTAAAGCACTTCAATTTTCAGTTTCAAAAATAGCAATGATTACCGAAGACCAAAGCTAAATATTATTGGTGAAGCATAAAATTTAATTACTGCTAAAATTACTTACTGCTCAATTTAACACAAAAAGCATTCATTGTCCATTGCAATACTGACAGTACCATCAACCGTAATTCTCTAGTAAAACTACTTTATCAGTGAAAACACCGAACAGTCAAACCAGTTAATTTGTACTTTTTAATCAAAATTACGAAAGCATATTTAATGAGATCTCATGCTATTCTTATTATATTACGTTCCCGATCAAATAAACATATTTAATGATTTCGCAGAAAACTACTTTTAAGATTTCTGTTACTGTTACATGAGGAATCGAAAATGAGTCACTTTTATTTGCCCGGCAGTTTTAGTATAGAACGAGATATATCGGAAGTAGATGCATCGTATCCCCACGGCGAGAAAAAAAGACCATTAACATACGTGTCACTGTTGAATCAAATAAACAACTAGCACACAAGAAGCTTGTGCAAAACAAAGATGAAGAACCAAAGTATTTAAGTAGGGGTATTGTCATTATGAATCGTCGTTCCCACCTTCAGCCACCTTGGGCCCCGCGATTGATCCTACCACCGGTGATTGGACATATATAAGTGACGCGAGCCAGAGCCATTTTACAATTGCATCTAATCGCAGCTAATAACGTTCAGGTGAGTGAGTGTCGTGCCATCCTGAAGTATCTGGTTCACTTTGTGTCATTGAATTTACGTGCCGTTAAGTTTGGAAGTGGACTAAGTCATATTCTTTTTGTTTCGAGATATTTAAAGGTTCGCGTTTAAATAAATTAACAAATACTTTTATACCACGTAACAAAATATTTCCGAAGATATTCAATCTTGAAAAATAAGAATTTATTATGGTTGTGTAATGTTGCGTGTAACTTATAAGAAAATATGACGTTTGATGCTTGAATTAACTTAGGGCACTTTCAAAATTAATAATGAAAAATTATAAAACTAATATGTGATTAACACATTATACACCGTCTAAATGTCAGTTATTAATATTAATTATATTGACACAAGTTTAAACATTAATCAAACCGAAATTTGTAGCTTACGGAAACGAATAAGGAATTCGATTTTGTAATTTTACTTTGGATTTGTGTTATACATATCTAAAATGTTACATTAACGTGGGACTAGCAATTAAACGATGGACTATTGTCGCGGGGCCGGCGCGCAATGTGTTAACATGTTCACTGCCACGAGAATGGTATTCGAAATAATTATTAATGATTTGGTATAACAGTACTCATATTGCACTATTATAGTTAGTTACTTATGTTATTAATGTTTTAATGGGGCATTATTTTTCCTATCGCAATTGTTTTCAAGCAATTTGGAAGTTTCGGCCATCGGCAACCACTGTGACAGTCAATGATAGACTGCGAATCTTCATGTATTTTTGAGAAACTTGAAAGTAGAAACTTGCATAAAAGTCACACGGTAAGAAAACTGTGTAAAATATCCGAAACATAGTGATTTTTATAAGGCTTCTCTGGTAAAACCATTCTCTATTACAATTTTAGTTTTCTTATTATATTCTTAAAAATAGAAGTTTGCATAAATATCTGCAATATAGTGATTAATTCTTTAGCGATCGATTCTCATCTTCAACTTAAAAGCTAATTTTGTTGTAACTCGATCGTCCGACGTAATTAGAATACTGAACATTATTTCATTGGGAAAATTTCGTATGTTTTATCTGTGAGGTTCCAGTGTAACGTTTAATATATATGCAAAAAATATATAAGAATAAAGTATTATAGGAAATGGTCAATCTTAACTATACCACAGTACTTACTTTGCCATATAACGTTTACGTAAGGTAAGGGGTTAACATCTTTCGCAACCGCTCACGCTAGAATCATTTTATCGTTAATAATTCATTAGAAGAGAAAGGTATTCTACTTTCACCGTAAGTCGACATTTACTCTGCGCATTGATTATCGACTATGAGGAAATGGCATTGCATCTTGACTGCAAAAGATTCACAGTATTTAGAATTGTTCAGCAAGTTTAAAGGAATATTGAAAGAAGGGTTTATTTCCTGTCTCAAATGAAATTAAGTCTTTTTAGAATAATATTTGATTAAACGATGAGTGCATTTTAAGTTATTTCAATTTGATTGTTTCTTTGATACAGCCATGAAAGTCGCGTTGGTCTGTTTGTTCGCCTTCGTGGCAGTTTACTATGTATCTGCTCGCCCGGACGATGCCAAGTACACCAGCAAATTTGACAACATCGATGTGGACCAAATTCTTCGTAGCGATCGCCTGCTGAACAATTACTTCAAATGTTTGATGGACGAAGGAAGATGCACTCCGGATGGCAATGAACTTAAACGTGAGCAAAATAATGTCATTGACTTGAAAAATCATGAAACATGTGTATGAAAATATTTT